ACCATCTATAACTCCAGTTCCAGGGAATCCGACATCCTCTTCTGACCTCCTCAGGCATTGCACAACACAGGTGCACCTACCTAAATGCAAGCAACACACCCATACACATTAAATAAAAATAAAACATTTTTTAAGACTGCACCTAGAAAAGGCATGGGAATAGCATGGCCCTGGAAACTTTAGTGGTCAAGGCGCTTCAAATTTCCTGCTCATTCCACTTTGTGCTACATGTAACATGTTTATGAATCAATCTCCCCCAGTGATTGACCAAGCACACAAGAGACCCTTAAGACATGGCCCATGTCTGAGGCTTCTGGGACTGCCATTCTGGGAGGACAGTCCCAGGTATTTTCCTACCCGATGGATGCACTTGGGTGTTTGAAACTGGTAAAGGGCCGGGGTGTAAAGCTCAGTGGCAGAACTCTTACTCAGCGTACATGAAGCCAATAAATAAATAAATAAATAAATAAATAAATAAATAAGTAAATAAATAAAACATTTTTTAAAAAATAGGCCATTTAAGCTGGGTATGGTTCCAAGGGCACTGCACACAGTGCATTACCTACATGCAGGCAATACATGCATACACATAAGAATAAATAAATAAATAAATAAATTTTTTAAAAGTGGGTGCTGGGGATGTAGCCCAGTGTACATGCAGAAACACACGCACATTAGTAGCATACAAGAGGTACTGAGTTCAGCCTGCAGGGCTACAAAAAAAGATGTGACCAAAAAGATCAGAAAGCAAGTATGGGAGACTGGCATAGCAAACAACTGTGCCAAGAACAGTTAGCTAGATTTGAACTCAAAATCCTCCTGCCTGAAACCTGAATGCATACCCACATGCACACATATACATGCATACATACCACACACATACACACAACTCTCAAAACTGCTAAGTACCTCTATAGTAAAAGAAAACAGATAAAGCAGTGCCAGGCATGGTGGGGCATGCCTTTAATTCCAGCACTCAGGAGGCAAAGGCAGGTGGATCACTATGAGTTTAAGACTGGCCTGGTCTACATAGTGAGTTCCAAGATAGCTGGGGCTACAGGGAGACCCTGTCTCAAAAAAGAAAAAAAAATCTAGATAAAAAGAGCTTGAAAAGAGGTGCCCTTCATGGATAGACAATGGTATCCTGAAAGTGACAGGTTTTTAAACAAAATCCCAGTGCCAGGTACAGACTACTTCCCTACAAGCTCTTGGTCAGAGAGGTTCCCAAATAATCCTCCCTGCAAAAATACAGGCTGTTGCCATTGATCTTGGTTGCCCACCAGAACTACATGCTAAAGATATCATACATGTCGCTTACAGGACACAGAGAAATTAAGTTGCAACTAAAATGGAAATTAACTTCCCTACTGGCTCCTATACATAGGGCCAGAAGGTACTATGTAGGTTTGGGGGAGGGAAAACTCATCAATGGCTCACTTAGCTGTAGACCATGCATGCCCAGTCTGACCCACCAGGCAAGATATACCCACTGGTGCAGTAGTAGCTTGAGTACTTGGCAGATAGCCAATACTTTGTGATTGGATTTGAGGCCCACTCCATGGCAGTGAATCCTCACCTGCTACTAGAAACGCGGTCAAAAGCCTATGATGGAGAAGGACATGTGCACAGGGAGGAACATACGATAGCTGTTTCCCTAAAAGGACACTGTGTCAAACTTCCTTCTACATTTATACTCATGGACTAATGTCACTTTCACCTGAGGCCACGAAGCTCCTTTCTGCAGAGGGTGATGGTTAACTGGTCAAGTGCTGAGAGTAAACGACCATCGAGTGCTTGACCCTAAATGGGACATCTGTATCACCCACCTCCAAGGCCCAGGTAACATCACAGCAGATGGGATGGAAATAATTTAAGAGCTGGAGGATGAGGAATGCTATCAAGTGCCACAACTGGACATGATATAGCCATTGCCATCATGAACACCCGGCAGCAAGGGACACCACCCGGCAGCTAGGGACACCTGCACAACACTGGGCCCTTCGACATCTCATCATGGATAGAGAAGGTGCACACGAGACTTCATCCCTTCCTGAGGAGCCACTGACTATTAATGGTTGCTGGAGGTTGGGGTGTCATTTAATTTGATGGTGTCACTACTGGGGAACTAGTAGAGACAAGAAGGGGCTGAAAGGGAAAGAAAATGGAGTAACAGAGGGTCATGGGGGTGAATGTAATCATAATACATTTACGTTTATATATTATGAAACTTCCAAAAATAAAGAATAAAAATATTTTTACAGCTGAACACAGTGGCACACAATTTTAATTGCAACACTCGGAAGACAGAGGCAGGTAGCTCTGTGAAATTGAGGCCAGCTTGGTCTACATAGTGAGTTCCAGGCAAGCTGGGGCTACAGAAAGACCCTGTCTCAAAGAGACCAAAAAATTAAAAATTAAAAATAGGCCATGTTGTGACTATATGGAAATAGTCTTACAGGCTCCTGGGATCTTGCTCATATGAACTTACAGCAATGGTGTCAGCATGCACAAGACTCATGAAAACTCAAAGAGACAAAAAAACAGCACAGAACTGTGGAAATGGGCACCAATCTTAGCCAAAGAACTATTGGGCAACTGATCACTGCTTGGTGAAGGAGAGCTGATCTTCTTTAAGGGAGTGACTCTAGATAGGCTGACTAGACCCTAGTGTCTGAACTTGCACTAACCTGACTCAATGGGCCTTAACATAAATGACAGAATGCATGAAATCCAATGGGGTGGGGAGGGGGCTATGGGAGGGTGATGATGGAGACGGGGGTATAAAGATAATTAAGATGCTGTGTATGAAATATACAAAAATTCAATTAAAAAATATACTAGCCGGACGTGGTGGCACATGCCTTTAATCCCAGCACTTGGGAGGCTGAAGCAGGCGGATCTCTGTGAGTTCAAGGCCAGCCTGGTCTACATAGTGAGTTCCAGGACAGCTGGGGCTACAGGGAGACCCTGTCTCAAAAGGACAAAAAAAATACATATACTGAAATAATAAAATAAAAACAGGCCATATTCTTTAAAAATTGGAGGTTGTGCTGGAGAGATGGCTCAGGGACTAAGAGCACTTGGTGCTCTTGCAGAGGACCTGGGTTCAATTCCCAGCACCCACATGGTGGCTAACAACCACCTATAACTCCAGTTCCAGGGGTCCAACACCCTCTGCTGGCCTCCATGGATACCACACATACATGGTATACATAGATACATACAAATACTCATACACATAAAATAAAAAATCTTTTTAAGACAGGCGTGGTGGCACACACCTTTAATCCCAGCACTTGGGAGGCAGAGGCAGGGCGGATCTCTGTGAGTTCAAGTCCAGCCTGGTCTACATAGTGAGTTCCAAGACATCAGGAGCTACAGGGAGACCCTGTCTCAAAAAGACCAAAAAAAAAAAAAATCTTTTTAAAAAAAATGTCCAGTCAGTGAGATAGCTGAGTGGGTAAAGGTGCTTGTTGCCAAGCCTGACAACCTGATTTCAATCCTAAGAACCCACATGATGATAGGAGAGAACGCCCCCAAGCTGTCCTCTGACATCCCCATATGCACCATGACACACGTACACGCACAATAAACAAATGCAATTAAAAACAATTTTATATGGGCTGGAGAGATGGCTCAGCAGTTGAGAGCACTGACTGCTCTAGCAAAGAACCTGGGTTCAATTCCCAGCACTCCACGGCAGTTAACAACCATCTGTAATTCCAGTTCCAGGGGATCCTATGCCCTCTTCTGACCTCCATGGGCACTGCACAACACAGGTGCACACGTGTACGCAATACACTCATACACATAAAAATAGTAATAAATTTTTTTCAACTTTATAATGTGTTGTGGGGCTAGAGATTTAGCTCTGCTGGTAGTATGCTTACCTACCATGGATAAAGCACTGGGTTCCGTCCCTGGCACCCAAGAGATGAAGGCAAGAGATCACCCGTGGCACTCAAGAGGCTAAGGCAGGAAGACCTTCAGTTTAAGGCTAGCCTGGGCTACCTTGATAGCAAGACCCTTTCTCAAAAAAAGAAAAAAGAAAGAAGGGAAGAAGGGAGGGAGAGAGGGAGGGAGGGAGGGAGGAAAAGGATCTGTAAGGTTTAGATGTGGTATGAGGCCGAGTACAGTTAACCATGGGGACAGAGGTGCAGAGGAGAGCAACACACTTGTACCATCAGAGCAAAAGAGGCAGTCACCGGCTTTGAGAATGGTGCCTTGCTGTGAAGGGAAAGCCTGGGGAGGGGAACATCAGTCAAAGCAGCATCAAGAAGAAGGGGAACTGAAGGTGTAGCTCAGTTGATGGGGCACTCACCTAGCATACCTAAAGCCTGGGTCGCCCAGTACTGCATAAATGGGCATGTTGGTGCACGTCTGTAATCCCAGCACTTGGGAGGTAGGGAGAAGGGTCAGGAGCTTAAGGTCTGAGATCCTCAGTTTCATATTTTAAATTATTTACATATGAGTGTTTCACCCGCATGTTAAGTGTCCCACACTTACATGCAAGTGTGCAATGCCTGCAGAGGCCAGAAGAGGGTGAGGTATCCCCAGGAACTGGAGTTAGAATTATTAGCCATCATGTGGGTGCTGGGAACAAAACCTGGGTCCTATGCAAAAGCAGCCAGTGCTCTTAACTGCTGAGCCATCTCTCCAGGCCCTAAATATTTTCTTTTCAGTTTTATTTTTTATTTTTACTTATTTGTATGTGTCTGTCTGTATGCTACGTGTGCTGATGCCCATGGACGCCAGAAGCAGCATCGGATTCCCTGGAACTGCAGTTAAAGGCAACTGTAAGCCACCTGACATGGGTCCTGGGAAACCAACTGGGTTTTCTGGAAGAGCAGGAAGAGCTCTTAACAGCTGAGCCATTTCTCCAGCCCCATCAGCTACATATTGAGTTCGAGGCCAGCGTGGGCTACATGAGACCAGACCATCTCAAAAAAAAAAAAAAAAAAGAAGAAAAAAAAAAAAATCTCCAATGGGAGTCAGCTCACCTGGGATGTTGCTGCAAGGAACCCAGCAGTCATCTCTTGGTCTCTGGTGTTCACTGATGGGAGGCCTGGACCCGCCTGAAGAATGGGCAGTGCTGAGCAGGACCAAAGCAGGACAAAGATCAGAGCTGTCACTGGCCCATTCAAAGGCACCTCACCCCAAACACATACAACCTCAGAACCCACACACTCTACCAGGAATCGCTTTGCTGCCACACTGACCCACAGATGGGAGTCTGGGTGTCCCCTGCCCCGTTGTTGGCTAACACAACAGCCCTGTCCCTTCAGGGCCAGTCAAGCTCCCTGGTCACTTGTAGGGATAGCCCCCTCTGAAATTCAGTAATAAAGGAAGTCTCATTTGGGTGTGGTTTGTCCCCTCAATTAATATTCTCTGGTATCACCTGCACAGTTCCTGGTAGTTTCTAGAAGGGATGGGAGGGAAAGGGAGAAGAAATGGTAAGAGAACATGACAGCAGAGACACCCCCAAGACAGGTTAGTCAAGGTGCAGAACAATTTCATCTTCTTCCTACCAGGGTAGAAGCAGCAGCCCAGAATCTACCTTATAATTTCTGAGTTTCTGAAGGAACTGGGAATAGGAGTTGCAGAGTTTTCCAGACCCTTCCAGCCCCACCATCTGCATCATACCTTGCTCCTGGAAGACCTGTGTTCCATCTCCAGGGCCCTGGCTCAGCTGCTCCTCTGTGTTTTGGTCTAGGCCTTGAACCCTTTCCCCATGGGGCATTGCCCACTCCGGTTTGACTTCCACAGGTCCCAGGTGAACACCTGACTGCCAAGAGCCTCCGCCAAGGTCTGTCTCCTGCTGTTCTCCCTGAGCATGGCATGGAACCTAAGAGTAGTCCCCAGTACCAATTAGAATGATGCTTGAGGCTGGAATGACAAGTCCAGTTAAAACCAAGGGGGCCAGAGGGAAGGACAGTGGTTAAGAGCACTGACTGCTCTTGCAGAGTACCTGGGTTCAGTTCCCAGCACCCACATGGCATCTAACAACCATCCATAACTCCAGTCTCAGGGGATCCAATATGCTGTTCTGGCCTCTATGGGCATTGCACACATGTGGTGCATTTACATACATGCAGGCAAAACATTCATACACATAAAATAAAAATAAAACTGCCAGATGTGGTAGCACACACCTTTAATCCCAGCACTTGGGAGGCAGAGGCAGGCGGATCTCTGTGAGTTCAAGGCCAGCCTGGTCTACATAGTGAGTTCCAGGACAGCTGGGGCTACAGGGAGACCCTGTCTCAAAAAGACCAATAAGTAAATAAATAAATAATTTTAATTAGAAAAAGAAAAGGCAGCCAGGGACTTAAAGTGGCTGGCTGCATCACACTGGCATGCATGTAGGCAAAACATTCAAACACATAAAGACAGGAGCTCTTGTAGCTTACGAGGATTACTCCTGTCTCTGCCTCCCATCCTACCACAGAAGTGTTGGGATTATAGACACACACTACCTCACCTGATTTTCTTCTGTAGGTCCTGAGGATCCCAACTCAGGATCATGCTTGCATGCCAATTGCTTTACCCACCGAGCCATCTCCCCAGCTCCTGGCTCTTCTTGCTAAAATTCCCACTGCTCTCCAGAAACACCCTCAGAGAGTTGGTAGACAGTGGAGGAACTCCTGTGCCTCACCCACTCCCACCACTTCCTCAAACTTCTCCATTCTCTGAGTCCCACACCAATTGAGCAAGACCAGGACACCCTCTTCTCACCCACCGCCTTGGCCTCCAGTGTGCTCCCAGTCAGGCCCTCCACCATGGCCACCAAGGCCTTGCCGCTCTCTGGGCTGTGTTCCCGGATCCAGGCATAGAACTCTCGGGGCAGAATGGTCAGGAACTGCTCCAACACCAGCAGTTCCAGGATCTGCTCCTTGGTGTGCAGCTCAGGCCTCAGCCACCGACGACAAAGCTCTTGGAGCTCCCTGAGGGCTTCCTGGGGACCTGCAGCCTCCTGGTAGCGGAACTGGCGAAACCTCAGACGGAAAGTCTCTGGACTAGAATCTTCCCTTGCCCTGGCCCAGGGCAATTCCTTCTCCAGTTTTACCACTGGAACTCCCATGTGCTGCTGAGGCTCTCCAGCCATCTCTGGATGCTCTTTCAACATATTCACACTCCCAGAAGACTGATGACAACAGAAAGGACTCTTGAAAACATGAAACACACGAAGAGTCAGTCCATCCAATTCTGTGTCTATACCAATGGCTACTCTGCTTAGGAACTTGGTAATAACCAAAATGAGGAATCTTCAGAAGGCTGAACATACAACCAGAAGGTCCTATCAATTAAACTGGGATTCAGGCCGGGCGTGCTATCCCACACCTTTAATCCCAGCACTCAGGAGGCAGAGGCAGAGACAGGCAAATTTCTTTTTTCTGAGAGTCTCACAGTCTACATAGTGAATTCCAGGCCAGCAAGGGCTACAGGGAGACCCTGTCTCAAAAGGACCAAAACATAAAATAATAAAAATAACTGGAACTTAATGGGAGGTATGAAAAAATAGGCAAATTAAGACATATTTTGGAGGTTAAAATCAATTCACTAGTGGCTCAGTCTAAGACAAAGCAACACAGGCTCTTGCCACTGCTCCTGGTTGCCCACCAAACCAGATGGTAAGACCCTACAGATGAAGACACAATACACTTTGGTTGCAAGACACAGAGTAATAAAGCTGGAACTGACCAGGAATCTTCCTCCCTGCTGGCCAGCTCTCATAGTGCTGGAAGGTGCTATGCAGGTTGCTGGGGAAGAAAAGCCATCAATGGTATTACCCAATGGTGAAGTCAGCATAATGTTAACAACCTGCCAGGCAAGATGTGCCTACCAGTGTAATAGCGGCATGAAGGTTATGGGGGTAACCAACCAGTTTTCTGACTGAATATGAGGTTTTCCCCACAAGAGAAAACTCATGCCTGATAATGTAAACCTGGTCAAAGGTCCATGACCAGGGCCAGGCATGGCAGCAAACACCTTTAGTCCCAGTACTCGGGGGGCAGAGGCAGAGGCAGGCAAATTTCTTTTTTCTTTTTTTTTCTTTTTTTTTTTTTTTTTTTTTTTTTTTTTTTTTTTTTTGTAGGTGAGTGCACCCATGTTGTGCAATGCCCTCAGAGGACAGAAGAGGCTGTTGGATCCCCTGGAACTGGAGTTACAGACAGTTGTTAGCTGCCATGTGGGTGCTGGGATTCAAACCCAGGTCTTCTGCAAGAACAGTCTGTGTCTTAACCTCTGAGCTATCTTTCCAGCCCCAGACAGGCAGATTTCTATGAGATTGAGGTCAGCCTAGTCTACATAGTCAATGCCAGGCCAGCTGAGGCTACAGGAAGACCCTGTCTCAAAAAACAAAGCAAAACAAAAAAGAAGGGCTGGAGAGAGAGCTCAGCAGTGAAGAGCACTGGATGCCCTTGAAGAAGATCCAGGTTCAGTTCCCAGTACCCACATAGCAGCTAACAACCATCCATAACTCCTGTTTCAGGAGATCCAATGCCCTCTTCTGGCCTCCACAGGCATTGCATGCATGGGTGCACTTCTATCCATACCCGCAAAACACTCATACACATAAAATAAAAATAAGTAATTTTTTTTTAATTTCTTTAAAAAAAAAAAAAAAGCCCATGGCTGAGAAGATAATACACCTAGGAGAGAACCTACTACTGTTGTTTTGCTAAATAGACATGCCAAACTGCCTTTTAAATATATTTTTCTTTTTTTTTTTTTGGTCTTTTTGAGACAGGGTCTCCCTGTAGCCCCAGCTGGCCTGAAACTCACTACGTAGACCAGGCTGGCCTCGAACTCAGAGATCCACCTGCCTCTGCCTCCCAAGTGCTGGGACTACATGGACTACATGTGTTGCACCACCACGCCCAGCTTATTATTTTTATTTTTATGTGTATGAGTACATTGCCTGTATGGATGTAAGTATACCTGTGTTCTGCAATGTCTGTGGAGGTCAGAAGTGGGCATCCAGATCCCCTGGAACTGGAGTTATGGACAATAGTTAGCCACCATATGGGTGCTAGGAACTGAACCCAGGTCTTCTGCAATAACAGCCAGTGCTTTTAACCACTGAGCCATCTCTCCAGCCCCTAATTATTTATATTTATATGCATAAATTAGCACTGCCCTCAATATTGGTCAGAGAAGTCAATGCAGACTCATAACTGGCCAAAGTGCTGAGAATAGTGACTGCTGTGCTCAGCCCATGGAATATCTACATCAACATCCTCAAGGTTCAGGGAAGGGAACAGAAAGAATGTGAGAGCCAGAAGAGGAGACCTGTGAAATACTGTCTTCTGAACGTGACACAGTTGCACACATGAACTCACTGCAGCTGTGGTCAGCTGCACAAGACCTGAGAGGACAAGAAGGAAGGAGGTGTGTTGTAGGTGTCCAGGGGGAGTGGGAGACTTGGAGTGGATATGATCAAAAAACACGGTATATATATATGAAACTGTCAAAAGAATGAAAAAAAGATTTCTGCTTGGTTTTGGGTTTTTTTTGTGTGTTTTGGTTGTTTTGGTTTGTTTTTTTGTTTTTTTGTTTTTTTTTTTTTGAGACAGGATCTCCCTGTAGCCCCAGCTGGCTTGGAACTCACAACGTAGACCAGGCTGGCCTTGGTCTCAGAAAGATCCACCTGCCTCTGCTTCCTGAGTCCTGGGATTAAAGGGGTGACATATACAGCAAGGTCTCCCTCCCCAAACACCAGAGGTTTAAAAAGGAGAAAGATTAGCAGACTGGTGGAGGCTGCCTGTAATCTCAGCATAGGGAGACAGAGGCAGGATAGTGAATTCCAGGACAGCCTGGGCTACAAAGCTGGAAGAGAAAGGAAAATTAGGAAAGCAAGGGAAGGGAAGAGGGAAGTGAAATAGTGGAAGGGAGAAAAGGGTAGGAGAGGGGGGATGAACTGAAGGAAGGGAGACAGGCCGGGAGGGAAACATTATTCCTGAGGAAGAGGGTCCTAGCAGACTGGAAGATGAATCTTGTTTACCTCCAAAGGAGGAGGCTGGAGAAACAGACCTTGAGCCTAACCGCACCAACGCTCCCTTGTTAGCAGGCGCAACTAGCAGGAGACACGCCCCGAACATGCCAATACTCTACTGAAGGTTTGTGTGCCTCTCTACACCCTCCCTGCTTAAACCAATTTCACATTTTCCATCTACAGCATGCATCTGCTCTACTGCATCAAGAGCTCCCGTGCACAGCTTTCCCCTATTGCATGGCTCGCTCCAAACGTGCATTCGCCGCGCGTGGGTGCAAATGTTTACGAGAGCCGCCAGATACCCCACGGCCATGAGGCCTCCAGGCCTCGAAAACAGAAGGTGCCACGTGGCTTCTCGCAGTGCCTGTCCTGCAGCTCTTTCTAAAATGCTTCGTATCGGTTTTTTTCGGAGTTCCACCTCGGGTCAAGGTCTTCCTGGTGCTCGTGGACACCCTGCGCCAGCTTCCCCCCAAGCCTGGCTGGGCCAGGATCAGCGTGGATCTTACCTGAGCCACAGCTGCGCCTGGAGCTGCAAGCGGAGGGGCCTCAATCGCCCCGCCAGAATCTGTCTGCACCTGCCCGGGGCTCGCCTGGGCCCTGCGCCGACCGGAAGTGAGTGGCGGATGCTGTCAGGCAGGTGGCCTATGGAAAGAGAGTCTTTCCGTTTCCTCTCTAGGACTCTGGGAGGTCTGGGAAGCAGCTACATCTCGATGGTCATTTATCCCCACCCCGCCGCTTAAAGCCCTCTCCAGGCTCTCCAGTGCCTGGCTCTATTGCACCTTAGTGTTGGTTAGTTGTTTGTTTGTTTTGTTTAATTTAATGAGTCTCTGCATTACCCTCTGCAAAAGGAGACTCTCTGCCCTAGGCTGAGAGCCTCACTGATCTATGGCTATAAACATAAATGATTAAATTTTGTTATATGTTATTTATGTATGTGTTCACTGTTTCTCTCTCCCTCCCCTCCCCCTCCCCCTCTCCCTCTATATCACAGGGCAACCAGCAGGCGTCAGTGCCCTCCCTTTACCTTGTAGGTCCTCAGGATTGAACTCAGGTCAGCAGGCTTGACAGCAAGTGACTTTACACACCGAGCCTCTTGCCCACTCCCAAACATAAATATTTAAAAGGAAAATTGACAGTACATTCATTTAGGAACTACAATGGTTAGTTTTGTCAACTGGACACAATCTAGAATCACCTGAAGAGTCTCAATGAGGGATTGTCTAGATCAGGTTGGCCTGTGGGCATGTGTAAGAGTATCTTCTGTTAATTGATGTGGGAAGACTTAATCTACTCTGTGGGACACCATTCCCTGCATTTGGGGTCCTGGACTATACAAGAATGGAGAAAGCAAGCTGAGTGTTAGCATGCATGACTGTGTTCCTGACTGTGGATGTGATGTGACATGTCTGCTTCAAGCTCCTGCTGCCTGGACTTGCTGACAAAGATGGGCAGTAACCTGGAACTGAAAGCTAAAATAAATCCTTTCTCCCCTGTTTTTGTCAGGGTATTTGTTACAGCAACTGGAAAGGAAACTAGGACAGGGAGACAATGGTAATGTGTTCCCCACCAGAGCCCACGACCTCCCCAAATACAGGCTTGTGACCAAGTTTTGTTTTCTAAACTAGGTTTATAGCTGCAGGTGTGTATTCCCTGCGGTAAAGCAGGCTGAAAATCCAATCACTAAGCAGTTTGTTACTCATAAAATAGTCATGCTGCTATTGCACCAGTGGGCAGATTGCCTGGCAGATTGGCACTGTGGTCTATAACTGGGAAAGACTTTTCTCCCCCAGCAGCCTGAGGAGCACCTTCCAGTATTATGAACTGCCAGCAGGGAGGGGGTTTCCAGCTTGGTTCTGTTTTGATTTCTCTATGTTCTGTAACCAAAGTGTGTTGTGTCTTCAGCAAAAGGGTCTCTTTGGGGATTTAGGGTTGTGGTTTTGTTTGGGACACAGTTTCACTGTATATTCCTGGCTAGCCTAGGACTCACCACATAAACCAGGCTGGTCTTGAACTCACAAAGATCTGCCTGCCTCTGCTAAGATTGAAGGTGTGCACCACCATGCCCAGCCAGCAATAGGGTCTTAGCACCTAGTTCTGCACCTCCATGCCTTTGCACCTTTTGCCTCTGTGGAAAGGACCCTGTGTATGGCACATGCCTGGGCATAGAGCTTTGGAGTCTGGAGATAACAGGTGTCTGTGTCATGTCTCCACATGGTGTGTTGTGTAAGGCTTGGACCAGAGGGTGATGAAGAAGTAGTGCTGGACAAAAGGGGCCTGTGGGTAAGTGGTGGGGCAGGGTAGGGGTGGCTGTGATCTGAGAAAGCTTCCTGGAGGAGGATGACACACCTGAGTTGTTTGGGAAGATGAGTCACAAAATGCCTCCAGGGGCAGGAGAGATGGTCCAGCCCCTAAAATGCTTCCGGGAAATTCTCCTGTCTCTGCTTCCAATCTCACTATAGGATGAATTATTGGCTTGACTTTATATAGGTTCAGGAATCCAAACTCAGGTCCCCACAAATTTATGGCAAATGTTACCCACTGAGACATGTCCCCAATCCTTAAGTTTTAATGTAGTCAATCTTTTTTTTTTTTTTTTTTTTTTTTTGAGGCAAGGTCTCCCTGTAGCCCCAGCTGGCCTGGAACTCACTATGTAGACCAGGCTGGCCTCAGAATCTCAGAGATTCCCCTGTCTCTGCCTCCGGAGTGCTGGGATTAAGTGTGCACCACCACACCCAGTTAGCCCAATATACTTTTTTCATGTTTTATACCCCATTTAAGAAAATATTTACTAGCTGAATGTGGTGGCACACACCATTGATCCCAGCACTCGACTTGAGATAGGGTCTCCTTGTAGCCCCAGCTGGCCTGGAACTCCCTATGTAGACCAGGCTGGCCTCAGAATCTCAGAGAGATTCGCCTGTCTCTGCCTCAGAGTGCTAGGATTAAAGGTGTGTGCCACCACACCCAAATAAAACAGTATTTTTTATCAAAATATTTTCTCTTTTTTTCAGAGATTTATTTTTATGTGTATGAGTGTTTTACCTGCATGTATATATGGGCACCACATGCCAGTAATGCCCACAGACACCAAGAAAAGGGTGTCGGATCCCCTGAACTGGAATTACAAACAGTTGTTAGCTGCTACGTGGGTACTGGGCACAGAACCGAGGTCTTCTCTAAGAGCAGCCAGCGTTCTTAACCTCTGAGGCAGCTCTCCAGTCCCTCATCGTGACTTTTTCATGTACGTCATGTTCTTTGTTCACTTCACCTTTTCTGTCTTAACAGGACGATTAATCTGCTCAAAGTGAGTCCACTATCTAGAGGAAGAAGCATGAATGGTTTTTGGTTTTTGGGGATGGCTTCATATAGCCCAGGCTGGCCTCAAACTTGCTATGTAACCAAAGATGATTCTGAACTCCTGATCCTCCTGCCTCTATCTCCTGAGTGCTGGGATTAGAGGAATGTACCACCATGCCCCACATGACCCTATATTTTTAACTAGCTAGATTTAATATTGTATCTAACAAAAGTACTATAAAAGATAGAGCCAGAGGCTGGGCATGGTGGTGCACTCTTTTAGTCCCAGCACTCAGGTGGCAGAGGCAGGCAGATCTCAAGGCCAGCCTGGACTACATATTGAGTTCCAGGCCAGCTGGGGCTACAGGGGTACCCTGTCTCAAAACGACCAAAAAAAAAAAAAGAGCCAGACATGGCGCACGCCTTTAATCCCAGCACTTGGGAGGCAGAGGCAGGCAGATCTCTGAGTTTGAGGCTGGCCTGGTCTACATATCAAGTTCCAGGCCAGGTAGGGCTTCAGGGAAACCCTATCTCAAAAAGACAAAAACAAAAGATAGATGATAGACCAACCAAATTCTCTGGGAAATACCTAATTCTGTTGAAACAGGAGTATTATCATAAAGCAGGTGGCATTTCTATTGGGATTACAGACATGAGGATTTTCCCATTCAGGAAAGGACGGGAAAAGGGCACTGGTGTCAGAGAGACTGATGCTTGGTAAGACATGCATATCTGAAGAAGATGGTGTGTTAAAAGATTGCCGATGTACTTCATGGACCCAAATTCATATCAATAAGAGAAAGAAGGCTGGGTGGGCATGGTGGTACATGCCTCTCATCCTAGTACTTAGACCACCTCAATTTCAAGGCCAGCCTGGGCTACATAGTGAGTCTGAGATCAGCCTGAGTTACATAAAGAATTTGAGGACAGCCTGGATTGCATATAACTAAGGGGGTGGTGGGGAAACAGACCCACCCACCACCCACTCAGCCCTCTGACTCCAGGAAAGAATGAGGCAGAGCCAATACACTGATACTGACCTGCCCATTCTCCTCTGAAGCCCAAACTCTCTGAGCTCAGGCTTCCAACATCAGATCAGTCTTGAAAAAGCTTCCCCTTTATCCCCAACCCTTCCCTCAAACACATACTGAAGAAATATTTCTGGCACTGAGTCATGCTTTTGTCCAAAACATAACTTTTTAATGTCATTAATTCAAAAATCTACTGTAGTTATAGTCTTGGAAAAGAAAAAAAAAACTCCATTTCATTTGATCATGTGCTATTCTTTTCTCTCTTCAGCCTCCGGGCTTGGATCCTGAGGGATGGATCAACAGAATAGCTCTTTAAAAAATTTTAGAAAAAAAACTGCAAAAGAAAGAAGAGAAAAATCTCAGAAAGCTCAGAAAAGATAAAAGCCTTTTTAACATATTTCAGTCACAATCAAGACAGATGGCTGTGAGCATGAGGAGAAGAGGAAGCAGGGAGAGCCCATCTCCTGGCTAGATGACTGTTTCTTCCTTCATTAGTGTCTCCTTCTGTACAGAGCTCAGTTCTCCCAGACTCTCCAGCCTCTCCAGATAGGGGGTCCCCTGCACCTCCTTGGTATCCTTGGAAATGTAAGAGAAATGGCAGCAAAGGTAGGTTGTGTCTTGAAAGAGGCAGATGGCACCTAGAAAAGTTTGGGTCAGGTGGGACACGGAGAGAGGACTGGGTTCTGTGCCACAGGGGAAGGGAACCCCAATGCAAACCCCTTTATGGACATGCCTTCCATGCTGACCCTACAGCAGAGAATGTCACAGAGATACAAAGGGAGCAAATTGCTCAAAAGACAAGGAATGGGGCTGATTAGGAAGCTCAGTGGGTAAAGCACTTACAACCTAAGTTGTAAAAGCCTAAAAACTTGAGTTCAATTCCCGGAATCCACATGTCATATAATTAGCTTCATCTGTCAACAACACAAACCTACAGTCACCTGGGAAGAGAGAACTTCAACTTTGATCAAATTGGCTGTGATCTGTGAGGCATTTTCTTAATTGCCTCACAATTAATGTGGGAGGGCTCAGCCCAATGTGGGCAATTCCATCTCTAGGCAGGTGGGCCTGGGCTGTGTAAGAAAGGTAGCTGAGCAAATTAGAGGGAGCAAGCCAGTAAGCAAGAAGCATTCCTCCATGGTCTCAAGGCCATTGCCTTGAGTTCCTCCCTTGGCTTCCCTCAATAACAGGCTGTAATCTCTCTACGCAGAAAGAAACCCTTTCCTCCTTAAGTTGCTTTTGGTTGTAGCAACAGACAGCAAACTAGGACACCAAGTAAAAGTGGGAGGAGAAGATAGGGTGTGGTGGCCTTTAGTTCCACCACTCAGGAAGCAGAGGCAGGCAGATCTCTGTGAGTTCGAGGCCAGCTTGACTTACAAAGCAAGTTCCAGATCAGCAAAGGAGAGATGGAGAGATGGCTCAGCGGTTAAGAGCACTGACTCCTCTTGCAGAAACCCTGGTTCGAATCCCAGCACCCACATGACAGCTAACAACCATCTGTAACTCCAGTTTTAGGGGATCTGACACCCTTTTCTGTCCTCCACTGGCCTGGCACAACATGGGTACATATATTCAGGCATAACATTCATATACATAAAATAAAAATAAATTAAAAATTTTAAGGCATTTCCATTTCCTTTGAAAAAAAAAAAAGGCATGGTGGCACATGCCTTTAACCCCAGCACACGGAAGACAGAAACAGGTGGATATTTGTGAGATTGTGCCTAGTCTACATACTGAGTTCCAGACTAAAAAAAGTGGAGTGGATGATAGGTGTGGTGGTGTGTGCCTTTAATCCCAGCCCTGAGGAGGCAGAGGCAGGTGGATCTCTATGAGATCCAGCCAACCTGGTTCACATTGTGACTTCCAGGTGGGCTGTGACTAGGGAGACCCTGTCAAAAATTTTTTAAAAATAAAAAATTTAAAAAGGCGGGGGGGGGGACCAAATCCACAAAGTTGTCCTCTGACCTCCACACCCAAGTCACCACATGCACATCCACATAATAATAATTTTAAAGACAAAAAGAAGGTAAAAGTCACAGGCCCAGGACAGAGCTGAAAGACAGCTCAGCAATTGTCCCACCCATTAATAAGTGAATAAACACTCTTTAGAGGCAGGAAAGTCAACAGGAAACCCAGGCCTCTCAACTCAAGATGTCTAACTTAAGGCTCTCAGGAAAGTGAGAGAGGAAGAAAGGCCTGAGGAAAAGAAATTATGTGTTCATAAAAACAAATAGAGATACTCTGGGTAGGTGATAAATGCTATATTAAAGTTAAGATAGCAGCTGCAGAGTTATAAGCACATGCTACTCTTTCAAAGGACCCAAGTTCAGTTCCCAGCACATCTGACAGATCACAACCACTTATAACTCCAGCTCCAGAGTATCTGACACCCTCTTCTGGCCTCCCAGGGCATCTACACACACGTACACACAAGCGTGAGCTCTCTCTCTCTCTCTCCCTCTCTCTCTCTCTCTCTCTCTCTCTCTCTCAATAAAATCTAAAAATCTGAAATATGATGCTGGGTGTGGTGGCGCACACCTTTAATCCCAGCACTTGGGAGGCAGAGACAGGAGGATCTTTGTGAGTTCAAGGCCAGCCTGGTCTACATAGTGAGTTCCAGGACAGCTGGGGCTACAGGGAGACCCTGTCTCAAAAAGACCAAAAAAAAAAAAAATCTGAAATGTGGCAAGCCTGACTGAGAAACTGAAGTAAATGTTCCATGGGAGGAGGTCTTGCTGAGAGGCCATTAACTGCAAACAGAGGCCAGAATGCAGTGTGGCAGCCCAGGACACGCACCAGCCACTAGGAACAGGAGAATGCCAACACCCAGTATGTAGTAAGGCCACTGCATGGAGAACTGTGGTGGGCTGGGCTTCATTCTCAGATCTTGGATTTCCAGGGCATGAAGCAACAAGGCCAGGAAGGCACAGGCCCCTGTGGGGTCACAGGGAGCAGTCTTCACTCTCGTAGGATTTTGGCTTTCCTGAAGTCGAATCAGAATCCATGTGGCTCCTTCATCCTGTCTGCACCCCTAACCCTCTCTGAGACCATAACTATCACGTGTCTCTGTCTTCCTCCTTCCTCTTCATCTCAAACCTGTGTGCCTCAGCTCCTAGGGTCTACCAGAGTACTGTCCTGCTACCCTATGTATTCATACCACTTCAAGGTGGGCCTTCTGTGTCTGTGAGCTTCAGATGAAAGAGAACCTAATTCTCTTTCAGGCAGTATGTGTGGTGCCTGCTCCATTACCCTGGACTTCACAGGGTGAAGGGTGGGGCCTCACCCTTTTAAAGGGCACAGATGGTGTCTTTCATCCACTCATTTAAAACACATTGATATTTTTCTACTATTGTCTAAGCCTTTAATTTCAGCACCATCTAAATTTTTTTTAAATTAAATTTTTTTTTTAAAAAGGAGCCAGGAGTGGTGATGCACATCTTTAGTTCCAGGAGCATTCAGGAGGCAGAGGCAGGTGGAGCTGCCTCTATGTAGACGACCAGCCTGGTGTTTGGTTCCCATAGCAATGGATTAGGTGGAAAGCGAAAGAAGAGTTAAAGACCTCAGCTGGTGGGTAGGGTAACAAAAGCTGGGGCTACAGGGAGGAGAGAGAGAGAGAGAGAGAGAGAGAGAGAGAGACATTTCCAGCTCCAGCCTTGTTGCCTTGGGGTCCTATGCCAGAAATCATATCTGGTGCACTGAGTGACCATCATAGAATATGGTATAGGATAATAATTGATTTGGGGGGGGTCTTTTTTGAGACAGGGTCTTTCTGTAGCCCCAGCTGGCCTGGAAGTCCTTATGTAGACCTCAATCTCAGCGATCTGACTGCCTCTGCCTCCCAAGTGTTGGGATTAAAGGCATGTACTACCATGCCCAGCACTTGAAATGCCCTTTTGAGAAGCCCAAAAGAAGAGATATTACAAATTCAGACAGGTTAGGGCCTATGAGTGACTCTGTGGGTCAAGGTGCTTGCCACCAAGCCTGATGACCAGAGTTCAATCCCTGGGATAACTGACTCCAGCAGGTTGTCCTCTGCCCTCCACATGCATGCTGTGGCATGCCCCCCCACACCCATATACACAAATGAATAAAAATTTAATAAATAAATACGGGCTAGAGAGATGACTCCACAGATGAGAGCACATACTACTCTAGCAGAGGACCAGAGTTCAGTGCCCAGGACCCACATCAGACAGCTCCTAACCACCTATGACTCCAGCTCCATGGAATCTGAAACCCTTTTCTGGCCTCTGCAGGTGCCTGCACTTACATGTGCACATACCCACACATGACACACACATATATATGTGTAATTAAAAATAAAGTAAATCTGAAGCTGGAGGAATGGCTCAGCTGTTAAAAGCACTGGCTGGTCTTGTAGAGGATCTGAGTTTTGTTCCCAGTACCTACATGGTGGGTAAAAACCAGCTGTAACTCAAGTTCTAGGGGATCTGATGCCCTCCTCTGACCTCTGTGGGCATTGCACACATGGGTGCACTTACATACATGCAGTCAAAACACTCGTACACATAAAAATTTTTAAAGAACTCATAAATAAATCCAGAGAAGATTACTTCACAGAGAAAACAAAGTGGGGTGGGGAAGACCTTCCCTAATGCTTCTCTTGACACTGCAGAGACCAAGTGCCCTCCACACCCTCCCAGGCCCTAGCTGAGGATGCAGACTGCCTGGCTGTTCCACACACCTGTGAGAAAGCTGATGAAGGCTAACATCACGTTGTGCTTCCCAGTCCTTGGGAAGAGCTCAGATGCAAAGGACACCATGAGAAAGGTGGTGAAGAAAGCCAAGATGATTGCCGAGAGCAGGAAGACGCAGCCCAGGAGGATATAGACTGCAGAGGCGGGGAGGGGGCCAGGGTTGTAGCTGAGGGCCCTGCCTAAAAAAGAGGAGAGCCCTGCAGAGCCTGGCACACATGGCCCCAGAATCTTCACCACCTCATATCCCAAAGTATGGCATTGGGACCAATATTCTGACCCTGACACTTCTCCATATCCCAAGAATGTTCTGGCCTTATCATTTTGTTCATGACAACATGGAAGGGTATAAAAAATTAAATTGACAACGTTAGTCACTCAAATCATTCATGAGGTTTGTCATTTTTGGATTTTTTTTCCCCTATGAGATAGGGTCTCATATATCCCAGACTAGCATCAAACTCATTATGTAGCTGAGGATGATGTTGAACTGCTGATCTTCCTGCCTCTGGTTCTTGAGTGCTTGGATTACAGGCATGTGCCACACTGTGCCTGATTTATATGGTGTTAGGGATCAAATCCAGGACCCTGTGCATGCCAGGCAAGACTGTACCAAGACTGACTGAGCTACTCACCCAGTCCCCATTCATCAGTTCTTAATTTACTGTTGTGTAAATCTGGTTGTATTAAGTCATATGGAGAAATTATGTACTTGGAGGCCCAGTATGGTGATACATGCCTATAATCCCAGAACTCAGGAGGCAGAGGCAGGCAGATCTCTGTGAGTTTGAGGCCAACCTGGTCTACATAGTAAGTTCCAGGCCAGCTGGGGCTACAAGGAGACCCTGTCTCAAAAGGGGGAGGGGCAGTGGGAGGAGATGTCTCAGCAGTTAAGAGCACTGACTTACCTTCCAGAGGACCTGGGTTCAGTTTGAAGAACCCACACAGTGGCTAACAATCATGCATAACTCCAGTTCCAGGGGATCCAACCCCCTCTTCTAGCTTCCGCAGGCACTGCACAACATGGGTACACTTACATGCAGGCAAAATACTTATTATACACATAAAAGTAAAATAAAATTTTTCAACTTTATTATTTTTATTTCATTTTATGTGCATGAGTGTATTGCCTGCATGTATGTAAGTGCACCCATGTCATTCAATGCCCACAGAAGTCAGAAGAGGGTGTCAGATCCCCCTAGAACTGGAGTCACAGACAGTGGTGAACTGCCATGCGGTGGATGCTGGGAACCAAACCCAGGTCCTCTGAAAGCGAAGTCAGTGCTGAGTCACGCAGTCACTGAGCACATCTCTTCAGCCCCATAAATAATTTTTCAAATCCACTATGTACTTGTGAAAATAGTGATTTTAGGGGCTGGAGAGATGGCTCAGCGGTTAAGAACACTGGTTGTTCTTGCAGAAGACCTGAGCTCGAACCCCAGCACCCACATGGCAACTAACTACTATCCGTAACTCCAGTTCCAGAGGATCCGACAGCCTCCTCTGACCTAGGAGGGCATTGCACAACAAGGGTGCGCTTACCTGCATGCAGGCAATACACGCATACACATAAAATAAAAATAATAAAATTGAAAAAAAGAAAATGGTGACTTTAATAAACAACATAAAACCAAACTCTCCTAGTAAAACGTTGCTGCATATAGCCGGTAAGATGACTCAGCAGGTAAAGGCACCTCCTACCAAGCCTGATGACTTGAGTTCAACTCCCACAGTTTGTCCTCTGGCCTCTACTTGTAGGCATATCCACACCCCGACCCCTACACACAAATAAATACAACTTTAAAACTTAAAAACAAATTTTGGGTGGCACACACCTTTAATCCCAGCAGTTGGAGGGAGAAGGCAGGCAAATCTTTGTGAGTTCAAAGCCAGCCTGGTCTACATAGCAAGTTCTAGGCCAGATGAGGCTAGGAGGAGACCATCTCAAAAAGGTAAAAAAAAAAAAAAAAAAAAAAAATTTCTGCAAGTGCAAATGTGAAGACTCATCTCTGCAGTAGTTACACTAAAATAACTCACCCTCAGAAAATCAGAACTCCATTAGGTCAAAATGCTCTGACTTCACAAGACCCTCACACCCCTATTTAATTTTCCTGGTTAATAGAAGTGAAATAGATGCAAAAAATAATAACAGAGCTAAAATCTAGGAATAGGGAGATTTAGTCTCTTCTTCCTAACATAATTCAGACCATATTAAAAATTAGGGAGTTGGCTAGAAAGATTACTCAATGGTTAAGAGCACTTATTGCTCTTGCAGACAACCAGGTTTAGTTACCAGAACCCACATGATAGTTCATGACCACCTGTAACTCCAGTTTCAGGGGATCAAATACCCTCTGGCCTCCTCAGGTATGTGCACCATATGACACACATAAACTCATGCAGGCACACACACGCACGCATGCATGCACATATATGCAATAAATAAATCTTTAAGATTAGGCTGGGAATGTAACTCAGTTGGTAGAGCGCTTGTCTAGCATGCATAAAGCCCTGGGTTCCATCCCCAGCACCATATAAATTGGGCATGATGGCACACACCTATAATCCCGGCACACACCTATAATCCTAGCACTCAGGAGGTGGAGGGAGGATGATATAAAATTCAAGGTTATCTTCAGCTATATATTGAGTTTGCAGCCAGCCTGGGATATGTGAGAATCTGTTCAAAAAAGAATTTAGTCCATATGCTGTCCTAAGCATACAAAGATAGATAGGCTGGAAGTGGGACAAAAAAACAAAGATTTTCAAGGAGTGGTGGCTCACTCCAGTAACCCCAGCACTCAGAAAGCAGAGAGGGGTGGATCTCTGTGAGTTTGAGGCCAGCCTGGTCTACACAGCTAGTTCCAGATCAGTCAGGACTACATAGTGAGACCCTGTCTAAAAAAGAGATTATCCATCCCAAAATGTCAAGATCACCAAGGCTGAGGAACTTGAAGATCAAAGAGCTCACATAGTTGGGCCCCATCTTCCCCAAGGCAGACATCTTACAGTTTTCAAAAGTCCTTCATTGGGTCTAGGGTTGTAGCTCAGTGGGAAACAGTGAGTGGCTGGCACTTGTAAAGCCCTGTGTGCCATCTCCAGAAAATATTTTCTTTATTATTTTTATTTTATGTGTATGAATATATCGCCTGATTGTAGATAGGTGCACCTGTGTCCTACAATGCCTGAGGAGGTCAGAAGATGTCAAATCCCCTGGAACTGGAGTTACGGATGGTTGTTAGCTGCCATGTGGGTGCTGGGAATTGAACCTGGGTCCTCTGTAAGAGTAGTCAGTGCTCTTAACCATTGAGCCATCTCTCCAGCCCCCCAGGAAAAAAAAAAATTAGGTTCCTTGTAAAATGGCCTCAAGGGACTAGAGGTATAGCTCAGCTGGTAGAGCACTTGCCTAGCACTCATGAAGGCTGGGGTTCCATCCTCAGTACCACATTAAAAAAAAATAAAAAAAAAAAACAGGCACCTGTAATCCCAGCACTCAGAAGGTAGAGATAGGAAGATCAGGAATTCATCCTTGGCTACACAAAGCAAGTTTGAGGCCAGTCTGGGCTACATGAGAACTTGCCTCAAAAAAAACAAAAATGAGCCAAGCATGGTGGCGCACGCCTTTAGTCCCAGTACTCGGGAGGCAGAGGCAGGCGGATCTCTGTGAGTTCAAGGCCAGCCTGGTCTACATAGCGAGTTCCAGGACAGCTGGGGCTACAGGGAGACCCTATCTCAAAAAGACAAAAACAAACCAAAAATGAAATAAGGAAACTGGAATGAAATGACCTGGCCTCAAATGCCTTTACCATCTTTCTGAACTCTATGTATTTGTGTTCACGCCCTCTCAAGTGTCCCCAGGCCATGAGCACATTATCTGTAGAGATACAGCTGGGGAGGCCAAATTCCGGACCTGCTTATCTAATCAGGGTCTCCTCTTGGTTAGGGCTGTACATATCCATGCCAGTGCTAACTAAAGGTATCATCTATGCCCTAAGAATGAATTTTTTTCTTAATTAAAAAAAAAATGCAGGGCTGGAGAAATAGCTCAGCGGCTAAGAGCACTGACTGCTCTTGCAGATGACCCAGGTTTGATTCCCAGCACCCACATGGTGGCTACGAACTGTCCTTAACTAACTCCTCTGAGGCATTACACAACATGGGTACATTCACATGCATGCAGGCAATACGCTCATACACATAAAATAAAAATAAGTTAATTAATTAATTAATTAAATGCCCATATGGGCACTTATTAAATTTGGTTCTCTGCTCCCAACCTGCTCTGTCACCCCCACCCAAGCAAACACAGTCCTGTATCCCTGTCCCCATTTCTCCAGGTCCTCCTTACTCGATAAGGGTCGAGGCTTCCAGCATCTGATACGGAAGCAGTTCTCAAACAGGAAACTGAAAAACACTTCTCGGGACTCCTCGTTCAAGAGCCGCACCCAGAAGGGGAAGACGGAAACCAGCAGTAAGTGTAGGTAGCCCAGAGAGGTCAGGACTGGGGCTACAGCCCAGGTGGATCCCTTCATGTCCTTGTTCTCTCTTAGAGTCAGCATCACCTGTACAAGAGAAGTGATGGTAGAGGTGGGACACTGTCAGAGTGTAAGGCATGCTGTACCTTACAAGTGAGGCTCACCTCAGTGGGGTGCTCTTTGTCTACCTTACTTTATAGCTTAAAAGTCTCTGCAACTGACCTAAAACATGCCTGGAATGCCATCAGCTGCTAGCTCACTGGGTGGTTTTGGGCGTGGTGGGCCTCTATGAATACTAATTTCCTCATCTACAAAACTGAGGAGGCTGACTGGTGCTGCCCAAGGCCTCCTGAGCTTTACAACTATAATCTTTCAATATTGTTAAGACCTGCCCTGTTATCAGCAGGTATCAGAAGTTCAAGGTCATCCTTCCCTACATAGTGACTTTGAGATCAGCTAGAAATACATGAGACCCTGTCTCAAAAACCAAAACAAAGAATCCTTTGCCACAAGTGATCTTCTCTTTCACCTCCATCTCAGGGTACAACATCCTCAGCTGGTACAGTTGGGCTGATCTTTAGGAGCCCTTAAGTGTTGTCCCGGCCTTACTACTTCCTACCGGCATCATCTTGGGAACTCGTTCAAACCTTCAAACCATTGGTATCTAAGGTCCCCATTCAGAAAGGGGGAAATACAACACCTACCTGACAAGACCATTAGGAAGACCGAATAAAGTCCAGCCTACACAAGTAGCAAACTCAGATGGGCATGGAGGTGCATGTTTTTAATCCCAGCAGAGGCAGGTGGATCTCTGTGAGTTCAAAACCAGCCTGGTCTACATAGTGAGTTTTAGGCCAGCTGGGATTACAGAGGACCCAGGTTTGATTCCCAGCACCTACATGGCAGGTAGCAACCCTCTGTAACTCCAGTTCTGGGGAAATTCAATGCTGTCTTCTGACCTCCTGCACGACATGGGTATACATACATACATGCAGGTAATACACTCATACACACAAAAATAAAAAATAATAAATAAATTTTTTTAAAGAAACCAAGTAACAAACTCATTACTCTTCCTCAGGTGCTAGATTAAAGCAGGAGAGCAAGGGAGAGGTGGAGCACTGAACAAAATTCACCCCTCCCTGAGGGAGAAGAGGCTAAGCTATTTACAGCTTCCAGAACATTCAATCAACTAGTCTTTCTCCTCTCTACAGAGCCCAGAAAAGAGAGTTTTCCTACAGTGGTAAAGGTCTGAAGGAAAAGAAAAGGAGGCATTTTGGAAGCTTGGCATGCTGCAAGAAAGGCAGGCCTGGCTCAGAGGCCACCAGGGGGCACTGTGATAAGCCAGGCCATCTGACAGTGTAGAAAGATTAGAAGGTGAGAGAAAAAAGTGACAGGGTGAGAAGTACTCCCAAGTGACAGGAAGGCAGGCCTGGAGACTCCTACTGGAGTAGAGCTATGCTTGGGAAGTGCAGAAGACAAGAGTGTGGGAATATGGCTGCTTCTTCACCCTCTCCCCACAGGCCATGTACCTGCGCTCAGTGCCAGGTACAGGGGTGTCTCAATTACCTTGTTTCAGACATTCCCTGCAGCCAGAAGCAGGGGCAGTCTTTGATGATGGTTGATCTCTAGCCAAGAGGCCTGATGATGGGAGTCATAGGGTGGGTCCCTTCTGCACCCCAACACCTAAATATGCTAATCACTGTGCATGAGCAAACAAGCATTCCTCCTCAGGTCTGGAAATGTTCCAACATACTTTCTTCCCCTTTCTGCCGGTCACTACTTTTTCTCCTTCCTACCTGAATCCCACCTTGGAATCTCTCCCTTTCCATCCTCCATGTACTCTCCAGACCAGTCTCAGGTCAACCTTGGAGCTCAGTTTCTTCTGCTCCAAATAATGAAGTGGGCTGCCTGCCCCTCAGTGCAGAGGAGTCCTTCTGACCCTAAACCTCAACAAGATGGATTTGGGGTTTTTTTTAACCTATTTATTTATTTTTATTTTATGTGTATGAATGTTTTGCCTGCATGTATGTAAGTGCACCACATGTGTCCAATACTTGCAGAGGCCAGAAGAGGGTGTCAGAGTCCCTGGAACTCAAGTTAGGAATGGTTATTAGCTGCCATGTGGGTACTGGGAACTGAACCCAGGTCCTCTGCAAGAGCAGCCAGTGCTCTTAACCACTACCAAGTCATCTCTCCAGCCCCAAACAGGATGGACTTGTAAGCTACACCTTGACTCTAGCCCTCTGGATAGGACAGCATACACCAGGCATCTCTTTTGTCCTCTGCAACCTCAAACATCTGAATTCAACTTCAGTGTTCCCTGTTTCTATCATTCACCCCAGCTCCAACCTAGAGCTTATGCTGCCTCCTCCCATACCCCACACATTCATCTCATCCCATCAGCCTGCCTCACACCTCAGGTTTCTTTTCATGTATAAAATTCTCCAAGCATGTATCCTTCCTGTCTCCAGGCCCACATGCTTCCCTGTACACAGAGTACACCACAGTCATCTCTTTCACTACTCTAACCTCTATGCTTAGATTCCTTCCCAGGGGTTTCCTCTCTGCTCCCCAATTCCCACCTCTCATGAAGGGTATAGTTTGGTCCAATTGAGTATTCCACACAGCCTTCCCAGATAACTTCCACTCCCTCAACAAAAATCAACTGTGCACTTACTGGTTGCCCCATTTGAGGAGAGAGTCTGTGGTGGGGGGCTCAGGGATGAAAACTGACAGGAAGGAGGAAGGCTCTTAACTGTTGGGGGAAGAGATAACACCAATGGATCAGGGCACAATGTTTTCCTCTCCCCAACTAAGGTGATCTAAGGTCCAACTCTGTGTACCCCCTCCATGACCTAGCTGTGCCCAAGTAATAAGGACCCTGGGTCGGCAAACTGACAGAGAGCTGTTTGGAGCTCTGAAGAACTGTATTGAGTCCTCTTAATGGTAGGGCTGTCCCCTTCCATGGCCCCAAAGTCACAGGGTCAGTTTCCAGAGCTCAGGATGAACCTTACCCTGGTCACTAGACTCCACCACTGTGCCCAGGACTCCTGTCCCAGATGTTTGGCTAGGGACTGGTAATTGGGAAGGAGGTGCTCCACTTCTCTTTACCCTCACCCTGGGAGCCCACCCCTTTTGTCCTCTGCTGGTCTCCCTTGCCCTCTGCTTGGGGCATCATTGGAGTCTCCTGTCTGGGGAAGTCATTTCCATCCAGAGGTTCTCTGAGGTCCTCTACCAGTTTGGACTTGGGCACAGACCTGGAGCTGCCGCTGGAATTCGGGAGCTGAGGTCTCCAGCACAGGCTGTTCAGCCAGTCCCTGGTGCAGAGCTGGCCTGTGCCAAGTGCTCCAGGGCTCGGCCTGCCCTCCCAACCTCCCTTCCTGCCCTGCAGCGGAGGATGCGAACCCAATCCTCCCTGGTGCCAACACAGCTAACGCCTCCAGCTGCCCACCTGCCCCATAATGGTAACCCCGCCTTGGGGTTTTCTGTTCAGGACCTAGGCCCAGTGTCATTCCCAGACCAGTGGGGAATCAAACTCACCAAAAATCAGCCAAATCTGACGATCTGCATTCGAATTCCAGCTGCCATGACAAGCAGGGTAACCTTGGGTAAATTACTCCTTTCTGGGTCTCAGAAGTGGGGGCGCATGCCTTTAATCCCAGCATTCTGGAGACAAAGACAAGCGGATCTCTGTGAGTTTAAGGCCAGCCTCGTTTCACTCCAGGTCTACACAGTGAGAGCAGTTCAAAAACAAAAATAAACACGGGGCTTACAAAATGGCTCAACGCACTTGCCACCAATCCCAACGACCTAAGTTTGTGACAGACTCCACACAATGGAAGAACACTGATACCTGCAGGTTGTCACGTGACTTCCACATGCGTCTCCACACTCAAGTCCTGGCACAAGCATGCCCACACACACATATACATACACACTAAATAAATAAATTAATTAAATAAATAAATGTAATACAATTTTAAATGACATAAACAGTAACTTCGAGTTAGATTGCATGACATGCCTGGAAAAGTCCCCAAGCAAAAGGAAGGAAACCCATCCACCCTTTACCCACATCTCCCCCTCAGTTGTCGCTTACTGACTCCCGGAGACCTCTCACTTTCCCGAAGGCTAACTATCTGCTGGATACATCAGCACCTGGTGACAGTTTCACGGCACCTGGCTGATTTAATCCCTTCAAAGAACTGGGCTCTGGTTGAAAGCCCTGGAGGAAAGGTGGTTCTAGCAACAAGAGGCCCCCACTGAGCTGGGGAGGCAGCTGCCAGCCCCCTTCCTCTGACTACATTCTCAGCAGGTTGTTAAGAAGGATGCTTATGGGCTGGCTCTCCTGGGCTCTTTCTGCTAGCTTCCTTACACAGCCCAAGCCCCACTGCCTGGGAACAGTGCTGCCCACAGTGGGCTGGGCCTTTCCACATCAATTAGAAGTCCAGAAAATAGCCCTGTGAGGTTCCCTTTTCCCAGGTGTGTGTCAAGTTGACAAACAAGATTAGCCATCACATCACTCTTAAGAATTTTTTGTTGTTTTCTTTTTTGTATACTGTATTCTTTTTCTTTTTTTGCAATACTGGGGTTTAAGCCTAAGGTTTTATGAATGCTAGGCAAGAACTCTATTCCTAAGCTTTAAGCTATATCCTCAGTGTTCATTTTTTTTTTTTTTTTGAAAGAGGGTCTGTTTCCCTGTAGCCCCTTATGACCTGGAACTCAATATGTAGATCAGGCTGACCTCAAACTCACAGAGATCTGCCTGCCTCTGCCTCCTGAGTGCTGGGATGAAAGGCATGAACCACCACCCCCAGCCTTTCTTCACTTTTTTTTGGGGGGGGGTCTTTTTGAGACAGGGTCTCCCTGTAGCCCCAGCTGTCCTGGAACTCACTATGTAGACCAGGCTGGCCTTGAACTCACAGAGATCCACCTGCCTCTGCCTCCCGAATGCTGGGATTAAAGGCCTGCGTCACCACACCCAGCTTTCTTCACTTTTTTTAAAGCCAGGTCACACCATGTAGTCCCGCCCGACCTGGAACTCACTATGTAGACTAGGTTGGTCTCTACCTCACAGGGATTCACCTGCTTCTGCCAACCATGTGCTGAGATTAAAGCCTTGGGCCACCACATCCAAATGGCTTCACTTTTTTTTGGGGGGGGGACCGTCTCTATAAATTGCCCAGGCAAGCTAAGACCTTGGGCCCCTCCTGCCTTTGCCTTCCAAGTAACTGGGATCAGAGCTTGAGCTAAGAGGCCCAGCTTGTATTCTTTGCTTTTTTAAAAATATTTTATTTTAATTTTATGTGTATGAGTGTATTGCCTGCATGTGTGTAATGCTCTGGAACTGGAGTTACAGATTGTTGTTAGCCACCAGTGGGTGCTGGGAACCAAACCCAGGCCCTCTGCAAGAGCAGTCAGTACTCTTAACCACTGAGCCACCTCTCCAGCCCCCTTCTTTGCTTTTTAAAAGTGTGTCATGAAGCATGTGTGGAAGTCAGAGGACAACTTGCAGGAATAGATTCTCTCCTACCACCGTGTGGGTCCCAGGGTTCAGACTCAGGTTGTCAGGCTTGGTGGCAAGTGCCTTTAACCCACTGAGCCATCTTGCCAGCGTACTTTTTTATTTTGATGCCTTTTATTAGTGCATATTAATTGTAGTAAAGGGAGTTCTCTGACATTTTACACATGCACACAATGTACTTCCATTATATTCACCTTCCATCACCCTCTCTTGCCTTCTTCGTTCCTTCTGTTGGTCGCTGATCTGACCAAACACAGCCCTTTTCTATTTCGTGCCTTTTTATTGTTGTTGTTCTTGTTGGTTTGGTTTGAGACAGAGTCTCCCTGTAGCCACAGCTGGCCTGGAACTCACAATGTAGACCAGGCTGGCCTCCATCTCACAGGGATCCACCTGCCTCTGCTTCCTGAGTGCCTTTTTAAAATCTAGATTCTAGCTGGGTTTTAAAAGGTAGGGATCATGGGCTGGAGAGATGGCTCAGCCGTTAAAGAGCATTGGTTGGTCTTGCAAAAGATCTAGGTAGAGTTCCCAGCACTCACACAGTATCTTACAAGCATCCATAACTCCAGTTCCAGGGGATCCGAGACCTCCTCTGACCTCTATGTGCATTGCACAACATAGGTGCATTTATATTCACACAGACAAAACACCCACACACAAAATTAAAAATAATAACCTAGGATCATGGAGCTGGGATAGACCTCAGTTGTTGGACTGTTTGCCAAGCATTCAGGAGGCCCTGAGTTTTATCTCTAGTGCCTCATAAACCAGGCAAGGTAGTGCATACCTGTAATTCTGAGGAGCAGGCAGGAAGATCAGAAATTCAAAATCACCCTCTGATACATGGTAAATTTTAGGCCAGCCTGGACTATTTCTGAGATCCTGTCTCCAAAATATAAGCTGGGCATGGTGGTACATGCTTTTAATCACAGTGCTCAGGAGGCAGGGGCTAAAGGGAGACTGTCTCAAAAACAAAAACAAAAAAATTTCTCCTGGGCTTATGAGATAGCTCAGCAGGTAAAGGTGCTTGCCACCTAGCCTGACAGACCTGAGTTTGATCCCAAGGACCCACATGGTAGAAGGAGAGAAATGACTCCCAAAGTTTCCTCTGACTTCCACCCACCACAGTGCACACGTGTGCAAGGGTGCACATACGCAAAATAAAATTAAAATAACATTCTCCTTACACTGGCCTGGACTTGTGATTGAAAGAGCTGGCTTCTTAGGTGGTCCTAGCTGCCTGGCCTCTGGAAGGCACTTGCACCATCTGGTTCACAGTTCATCTCCTGGGCCAAAGTGGAACGAGCTTGAATGCTTCTCTGGCAGATATTTTTTTCCTAGCCTGGCTAATCAACCATGAGGCATGAGTCTGGAGGCTGATGACTATTTTTCTCTACCATTTGGACAATGAAAGTCTGAAAGTGGGGAAATTACTCTTCTGGAAGCAGGGGAAAGAGATGTGTATACGTCCTTCTGCTCTGGGTCTGGCTCCCCAAGGCAGCTCAGCCCTTCTTCTGTTTGGCCTCAGTCACATCAGTAAAGACCTCTCCAGCCTAAACTGGATTCTGAACCTCACAGATCATTCAATTTCTCTCCACCCACACCCATCTCCTCCGAGTCATTCCTTGAATGTAAACTGGCTACTAGGAATGTGGGAGGGGCCAGCCAGATCCTGCTTATTTATTTTTTTATTTTTGAGACAGGGTCCCTGTGTAGCCCCAGCTGGTCTGGAACTCATTATGTAGACCAGGCAGGCCTCCATCTTTCAGAGATCTACCTGCCTCTGCCTCTATCACAACCTACGTAAGGAGAGTTTTTTAGGCAAAGAGGCTAGTGTTCTTGGAAAGGAGAAGAAATTATAGCAGATGAGAATGTTTTCACATGCACTATCTTACATAACACTTGAAAATGTGACCATGGGGACTGGAGAGATGATGGCTCAGCTGTTAAAAGCACTGGCTGCTCCTGGAGAGAACTCAAGTTTGAACCCCAGCATCCATATGGCAGTTCACAACCACCTGTAACTCCAGATCCAGGGGATCTAATGCTTTCTTATGGCCTTCACATGTACCAGACATGCATATGGTGCACTTACATCCATGCAGGCAAAACATTCATACACATAAAATTAAAATAAATAAACCTTAAAGAAAAGTTGTCCGAAGGATTGTCAATGATTGCTAATGGTTGCTAAAAACATTGATTGACTGATTGACTCTTTACTAGGTGCTTGCAAAGTATTTACTGTGGTGATGAATCCTCAGGAGCAGCTTTGCTGGATTTAGAAGCACTGAAGGAACTGGTGGGCCGCACTTGTGGGGCATTTCAGAGACACTTAACTGAGGGAGGGAAAGACTCGCCTTGAATGTAGGTGGCTCCATGTCCATGGACTGAGTACGCTATACAGAATAAAAGAGGAAAGGGGGGACAACCGGGTCAGCCCTGGCATTCCCTTCTCTTGCTGCTTCCTGTCTGTCAAGAGGTGAAGCACAACTTCTGCCACAGGTGCCTGCTGCCACAATGTTCTGTCAAGGAACACAGGGCCAAGAGACAATGGCTTAATTCTCCGAAACTATGAGCCAAAATTAACCCTTCCTCCTGTAATTTGCTTCTATCAATAATTTGGGGCTGGGAGCCAGGCATGATGGCACATGCTTTTAATCCCAGCACTCGGGAGGCAAAGGCAGGTGGATCTCTGTGAGAGCAAGGCCAGCCTGGTCTACATACTGAGTTTCAGACCAGCTGGGGCTACAGGAAGACCCTGTCTTGAAAAAACAAAAACAAAAACAAAAAAGAATTTTGGGCTAGAAAGACAGCTTAGTGGTTAAGAGGGTTTGCTGTTCTTTGAAATGATCTGAGTTCAGTTCCCAGCACTCATATCAAGAGACTCATAACTGCCTCTATCTCCGACTCCAAAGAATTCAACCTTCTTCTGACCAAAACTGGCACTCACATACACGTGGCACAAATAGACACAAATATATACACATAAATATAAATCTTTAAAAAAAAGAGTTTTATCACAGTAATGCAAAAGTAATTGCAAAAGGAAAGCATTGGGGCCAGCAAGATGGC